CCGTTAAGTGAATACAAGCTGTAACTTTTATGTACCCTGTAAATGAGTGCAGTAATACACCTGTAACCCATGTTCTTACCTGTGGCCCACTACTAATTAGCTGGAGCACTGAGGTGTGTGTGTGTGCGCGCGCTCTCGTTATATTAGGAGTGTTTTTATTCAGGTGTCTGGTGGTGGTGGTGGTAGTTATGGTGGTAGTGGATGTAATGGTGGTAGTAGTGGTAGTAGTGGTGGTAGTAGTGGTGGTAGTAGTAGTAGTGGAGGTGGTTCAGGATGCAGGGGGTTCAAGACTCAGGCTTCAGGGGTTCGAGACTCAGGGTACAGGGGTTCGGTGGTTCATTAGTAGGTTTGAGCAATGAGTGGTGGTCGTGGTGATGGCTCAACATGTGTCAACACCAGGGCAGTAAGACACGACTGTTGTAATGGTGGTCATCTTGCGTCTTGTTCGTGGTTGTACGTGTGTCTAATGTGCCTACAGTAGTCCTAATGGGCCCCTAGTATTAATGGGCCCCTAGTATTAACGGGCCCCTAGTATTAACGGGCCCCTAGTATTAACGGCTAGTATAACGGCCCTAGCCACTAGTGGCCCTATTAATGGGCCCCTAGTATTAATGGGCCCTCAGTATTAAAGAACCTAGCATTAACGGGCCTGTTATACCACCACCGCCAGCCACAAGAACCACGGGAGAGAGAGAGAGAGAGAGAGAGAGAGAGAGAGAGAGTCGTGGAGGGGGTAACATCTAGACCAAGGGTAAAATATAAGTTATCTCACGTCACATAAGTCACCCCCACACTTTTCACTCACTTAAACACTTAATTAAAATACTTAAGTGAGTTTGAACCAAGACAAGTCACTTAAACACATTACCCACAGTAGAATGAGTTGACGATGATATCTAGTTGTGCCTCGTGTTTGTCCGGTGTTTTCTTCAAGGTGGTGGCTGAGTGGATACAATTCTCAGCTCCTGGTCTTAAAGGGGGGGGGTAGTTCGATCCCATGGGTAGTCAGTAGTCCATCAGGGTTTAAATAGGTGCCTGACTTTACAGTTTGGGAAAGGAGGGTGTCGCGTGCAGTGTCGACCTATTTCACCTACACTAACTACCTGCTACACCACACCTGCTACACCTACACCTCACCTGCTACACCTACACCACACCTGCTACACCACACCACACAATACACCACACCTGCTACACCCTCACCACTCATACACACTAGTAATTGTTTTTGCTGTAAGTCCTTTTCCCACACTGTACCTGGACAGACACACACACACACACACACACACACACACACACACTGTACTTTATGTATTCTGCTGTAATAATTTATTAACGCTGTAAAGAGAAATAATTAATAATCATAAATTTTAATAACCTTTAGAATAATAAAATAAATTAATAACTGAACCAAAAATAATAATTTTTGACATAACTTTGACAATTATTTAATGACTGAAACTCATTACGGAAAATATAATAATGAATAAAATTTTTATGATAATAGAATAAATTATATATTATTATTTTGTTATTGTAGTTAAGATGACAATAATTAACGGGATAACTTTGTATCATGTTGTAGAGTAAATTAATAAGACCTTCACAGTGAGTTGTTGTCATCTCAAGGACGTGAGTCATTAAGGTTGAATATAGTCTTGTTTTTGTTTAGCATCCTGGTGTGACGTGGATGATGACGTCACACCCCTATCATCACTGGATATGTAAATGGTGACGTCACATCCCCATCATCACCTGGTATGACGTAGGGTGATGACGTCACATTTGAACACCATCGTTTGTGACGTAGTTGATGATGTCATATACTCAATGCTAACTTATATGCTTTGAGGGTCTTATGTTTACACGAGGACTCAAACATTAAGACTGGGGCCCATTAAGACTGGGGCCCATTAAGACTAGGGCCCAAGTCTTATGATTAAGTCAGGTCTTATTAGGATTAGGGTTCTTATGACCAGTGACCTGTGGGCGACGCTGTCCTGTGTGAGTGTAGGTAAGTCGTCCAGGTACCAACAGGTAGGTCGTCCAGGTACCAGCAGGTAGGTCCAGGTACCAACAGGTAGGTCCAGGTCCCGGCAGGTAGGTCCAGGTACCAACAGGTAGGTCCAGGTACCAACAGGTAGGTCCAGGTACCAACAGGTAGGTCCAGGTACCAACAGGTAGGTCCAGGTCCCTGCAGGGTCCAGGTACCAACAGGTGAGGTCCAGGTACCAGCAGGTAGGTCCAGGTACCAGCAGGTAGGTCCAGGTACCAACAGGCAGGTCCAGGTACCAACAGGTAGGTCCAGGTACCAACAGGTAGGTCCAGGTACCAACAGGTAGGTCCAGGTACCAGCAGTAGGTCCAGGTACCAACAGGTAGGTCCAGGTACCAACAGGTAGGTCCAGGTACCAGCAGGTAGGTCCAGGTACTGCAGGTCCAGGTACCAACAGCAGGTCCAGGTCCCGGCAGGTAGGTCCAGGTACCAACAGGTAGGTCGGTACCAACAGGTAGGTCCAGGCCAACAGGTAGGTCCAGGTACCAACAGGGGTCCAGGTACCAACAGGGGTGTCCAGGTACCAACAGGTAGGTCCAGGCACCAGCAGGTAGGTCCAGGTACCAACAGGTAGGTCCAGGCACAACAGGTAGGTCCAGGTACCGGCAGGTAGGTCCAGGTACCAACAGGTAGGTCCAGGTACCAACAGGTAGGTCCAGGTCCAACAGGTAGGTCCAGGCACAACAGGCAGGTCCAGGTACCAGCAGGTAGGTCCAGGTACCAGCAGGTCCAGGTACCAACAGGTGTCCAGGTACCAACAGGTAGGTCCAGGTACCAACAGGTAGGGTCCAGGCACCAACAGGTAGGTCCAGGTACCAGCAGGTAGGTCCAGGTACCAACAGGTAGGTCCAGGTACCAACAGGTAGGTCCAGGTACCAACAGGTAGGTCCAGGTACCAACAGGTAGTCCAGGTACCAACAGGTAGGTCCAGGTACCAACAGGTAGGGTCCAGGTACCAACAGGTAGGTCAGGTACCAACAGGTAGGTCCAGGCACCAAACAGGTGGTCCAGGTACCAACAGGTAGGTCCAGGTACCAACAGGTAGGTCCAGGTACCAGCAGGTAGGTCCAGGTACCAACAGGTTCAGGTACCAGCAGGTAGGTCCAGGTACCAACAGGTAGGTCCAGGTACCAGCAGGTAGGTCCAGGTACCACGAGGTCAGGTACCAACAGGTAGGTCCAGGTACCAACAGGTAGTCCAGGTACCAGCAGGTAGGTCCAGGTACCAGCAGGTAGGTCCAGGTACCAGCAGGTAGGTCCAGGTTAGAGACAACAAAGCGGGCGGCTGGTCTCAGAGGTTCAGTGTTGGGGAGATAATGCAGCTTTTGTTTACGTGAAACTGTTGTTGTGTTGTAACCGACGAGGCCGAGAGGGGGCGGCGTGGGTGGTCAGTGGTGGGGGCGGCGGGTGGCGGTGGTTAGAGCGTTGGAAGTGGAGACGGGGCGGGCGGCGTGGGTGGCGATGGTCAGAGGCGTTGAAAGTACAGAGGCGGGGGTGGGCGGCGGGTGGTCAGTGGCGGGGGCGGCGTGGGTGGTCAGTGGTGGGGCGCGTGGGTGGCGGTGGTTAGAGGCGATGGAGAAAGTGGAGACGGGGGCGGGCGGCGTGGGTGGCGATGGTCAGAGGCGTTGAAAAGTACAGAGGCGGGGGTGGGCGGCGTGGGTGGCATCACTATACAACATCTTTACCACTGGTCAGCCCACTATCAGGTCAGGTGGTCGGTTCTTGAGTGTTGGTCTAGTAGGAACATCTCACTAAATACCATTGAGAGTTATACTGTGGATGGTCGTGTTACTGGGGACAACATTGTATTGTATCTATGTGACAGTGAGTTGAAGATAATCATTAGTTGTTTTTTCGTTTAGTTGCTTCAGTCAGCATTATGACTGACAATTTTGACTCACTGATTGACTCACTCACTCACTGGTTAACTAACTGACTGACTGAAGTTTGAGACTATCTTTAGAGTAGTTATTACCCAGAGTCGTGTTGTGTTGTTGTGTTGTGTTGTGTTGTGTCGTGTCGTGTCGTGTTGTGTTGTGTTGTGTTGTTCGTGTTGTGTTGCGTTGTGTGTGTCGTGTTGTCGTGTTGTGTTGTGTTGTGTTGTGTCGTGTTGTGTTGTGTCGTGTTGTGTCGTGTTGTGTTGTGTTGCGTTGTGTTGTGTCGTGTTGTCGTGTTGTCGTGTTGTTTGTGTTGTGTTGTGTCGTGTTGCGTTGTGTTGCGTTGTGTTGTGTTGTGTCGTGTTGTCGTGTTGTGTTGTGTTGTGTCGTGTTGTCGTGTTGTGTTGTGTTGTGTTGTGTTGTGTCGTGTTGTTGTGTTGTGTTGTGTGTTGTGTCGTGTTGTCGTGTTGTGTTGTGTCGTGTTGTGTTGTGTTGTGTTGCGTTGTGTTGTGTTGTGTTGTGTTGTGTCGTGTTGTGTTGTGTTGTGTTGTGTTGTGTTGTGTTGTGTTGTGTTGTGTTGTGTTGTGTGCTACAGTAACAGTGTTGTTGTTTCTCCAACAGAACTCGTCATGCTGAAGCACGCCAGCCCTCAGAGGTCGTCCCCCAGCCTCTCCCAGCCCCTGCCAGCGTCCCCAGGTGCTTCACGCCCTCCCAAGACCCATGTTGACACCCTCCCTCCTTCAGGGGCCAGACTAGCTCTCAGGGACTCCTACAGTGAGCGTAGTGTGGACTGTGACAGCCTGATAGTGCCCGCCTCCTACGCCCAAGCAGAGAAACACGCCGGGTATAAGGTGGGCATGTGGACGGGTGTGTCTCAGGCCAACGTGAGGCGAGGGTTGTCCTTCAGCTCGAGACGCGCCCCTGACGCTCTCTCCTTCAGATCAGTGCGTAGTGAGGGTCACCCCGCCACCTCACCCTCCAAGGTGCCTCCATCAAGCACCAGCATGACCAACGTCTCCATCCTCAGGAGTGAAGGGTCGAGTCCTAAGACCGACAAGCCCCAGTCGGCTTCCAGTACCTGAAGGGGGACATGTCGAGCCTCAAGAACCTGCTCAGGCTGCCAGGTGTTCGAGGACACGCTAAGATCCTCGAGGTGTCTAAGGACGGTGTTGTCTTGAGTCCCGACAGTCTGAGTCTTAATTCCTCCGACAGCTTCTTCACAGCCACCAGCGGCCGTACCTCCTCCAGAAGCTGGTCCTCCAACACCTCCAACTCCAACACGACCAACACCTCAACAGAGTCCAACTCGTCCACCTCAGAACCCGCGTCGGTGAGTACACTTCATGGCTGCGTCACCACCAACCTAACCTAACCCTTCAACACCCTGCTGCTGGTGTCTGGTGGGAGGGTGTTATAAGCTAGGCCTGTTTCTAGTCTGTGACCCTCTCCATGTGTCATAGAGTTATATCTTAGAGAAGACCCACACAACAGCTGTTCCCCTTGTTGGTTCACAGCTGCTGGGACAAATGTTGCACAAGCGAAAAATATTGCATGATGCACCTGGCAAATTTGAGCTCTAATTGAGGGCCATTACCTGGTAGCGCAGAACAGCAGGAGCCCGGGCAGGTAGATGGGTAGGTAGGTAGGTGGGTAGACGGGTAGGTAGGTAGGTAGGTGGGTGGGTAGACAGGAGTGACAGGTGAGTGGGTAGACAGGTAGGTAGGTAGGTAGACGGGTAGACAGGTGGGGTCTCTGTTATTACGGTGATCTGGATCTGCCAAATGGCCTCGACTCCAACCTCTTGTAAAATGACGGATGTTGGTTGATTACGAACAGGACTGCTATTATTATTATTATTATTATTTATTATTATTATTATTATTATTAATTATTATTATTATTATTATTATTATTATTATTATTATTATTATTATTATTATTATTATTATTATTATTATTATTATTATTATTATTATTATTATTATTATTATTATTATTATTATTATTATTATTATTATTTTTATTATTATTATTATTATTATTATTATTATTATTATTATTATTATTATTATTATTATTATTATTTTATTATTATTATTATTATTATTATTATTATTATTATTATTATTATTAATTATATTATTATTATTATTATTATTATTATTATTATTATTATTATTATTATTATTAATTATTATTATTATTATTATTATTATTATTATTATTATTATTATTATTATTATTATTATTATTATTATTTTATTATTATTATTATTATTATTATTATTATTATTATTATTATTATTATTATTATTATTATTATTTTATTATTATTATTATTATTATTATTATTATTATTATTATTATTATTATTATATTATTATTATTTTTATTATTATTATTATTATTATTATTATTATTATTTTTAGAATGTAATTGGTTGTTAATGAGGATAGTGGTTGCTGGGGATAGTGGTTGCTGGGATAGTGGTTGTTGGGGGATAGTGGTTGCTGGGGGATAGTGGTTGCTGGGGGATAGTGGTTGTTGGGGATAGTGGTTGCTGGGGATAGTGGTTGCTGGGGGATAGTGGTTGCTGGGAATAGTGGTTGCTGGGGGGATAGTGGTTGCTGGGGGATAGTGGTTGCTGGGGGATAGTGGTTGCTGGGGGATAGTGGTTGCTGGGGGATAGTGGTTGCTGGGGGGATAGTGGTTGCTGGGGATGAGTGGTTGCTGGGATAGTGGTTGCTGGGGGATAGTGGTTGCTGGAGGGATAGTGGTTGCTGGGGATAGTGGTTGCTGGGGGATAGTGGTTGCTGGGGATAGTGGTTGCTGGGGGGATAGTGGTTGCTGGGGGATAGTGGTTGCTGGGGATAGTGGTTGCTGGGGGGATAGTGGTTGCTGGAGGGATAGTGGTTGCTGGGGGGATGTGGTGGTTGCTGGGGGATAGTGGTTGCTGGGGAATAGTGGTTGCTGGGGGGATAGTGGTTGCTGGGGGATAGTGGTTGCTGGGGGGATAGTGGTTGCTGGGGGGATAGTGGTTGCTGGGGGATAGTGGTTGCTGGGGGATAGTGGTTGCTGGGGGATAGTGGTTGCTGGGGGGATAGTGGTTTGCTGGGGGATAGTGGTTGCTGGAGGGATAGTGGTTGCTGGAATAGTGGTTGCTGGGGATAGTGGTTGCTGGGGATAGTGGTTGCTGGGGGATAGTGGTTGCTGGGGGATAGTGGTTGCTGGGGAATGGTGGTTGCTGGGGGGATAGTGGTTGCTGGGGAATAGTGGTTGCTGGAGGATAGTGGTTGCTGGGGGATAGTGGTTGCTGGGGGGATAGTGGTTGGGATAGTGGTTGCTGGGGGATAGTGGTTGCTGGGGGGATAGTGGTTGCTGGGGGATAGTGGTTGCTGGGGGGATAGTGGTTGCTGGGGGATAGTGGTTGCTGGGGGATAGTGTGGTTTTGGTCTGGCAGCGTAATAAATTGTCAGGGGTGAGTCATGTGTGCGGACGCAAGCGGATACACACACACACACACACACTGGCCGTATTTTGTCACTGGTCTTCTCCTAGTTCACCTACCTAAGAGAGAGAGAGAGAGAGAGAGAGAGAGAGAGAGAGAGAGAGAGAGAGAATATCGTCATATAAATTCACCTTGGTTCATCACAAACACATAGACAAGTTATATGTAAATAAACAACAGTAAACACAACAGATTCAACCTGACCTAATCCTGTCGTCACACACACACACACACACACACACACACAGCATCCATTTTTCTTCCCGCGCGAACACTTTTTGGGAACTTTTCGCGCCAAAAAAAAAGATGGTTTCGTTCCGCACCTCCGCTTCGACTTGCGCTGGAAATCGAAAGAATCTGTGTTTATTACCGATTTATTACGCGGTTATATTCTTGCAGTTGTATTCTTCGACTGTATACTTGGTGGTTGTATTCTTGCAGTTGTATTGTATAAAATATTGTAGCCAGGAGGAACTACAATAGAAATGAGGTTTTAATATATTTTAGGTTTCTCTGAGTTGAATCGATTTACTGTTTACCTTTCGATCTGTCTTCTGTCTGTCTGTCCGTCTGTCTATAGTGGTGTAGAGTAATGGCGTGTGTTTAAGGAGCCAATAGTCATGGTTTGATTTCTTTAAGGCTGTCATGTTAATGGTAATAGTCCCATAGTGTGTGTGTGTGTGTGTGTGTGTGTGTCTTGGCCCCGTTACAGAGAGTTTCACTGGTATAAGTTGCACCATCACTTGTTTTTCGCTGTTCTTGATGATGCTGTGATGGCGTGGTGTGGTATTGTGTTGATGGCGTGGTGTGGTATTGTGTTGATGGTGTGGTGTAGTGATGATGATGCTGTATGCTGAGTCTTGGCTATGACTCTGCTGTCCAAACACATTGTTTACAGCACGTCTCTTAGGGCAAGGGGTGTCGCTGACTCTCCATAACAGAACGGTAGCTGTTGTGACGCATCCTTGACTCACTGCTACCTAAAACTCATGGTAGCTGACTCATGGTAGATTCATGGTAACTGACTCATGGTATATTCATGGTAGCTGACTCATGGTATATTCAAGGCGACTGACTCATGGCTGACTCATGGTAGATTCATGGTAGTTTATGGTGGGCGGAATGTGTAACACCCGTGTGCTGTGTGGGTGCATGACGGTGCAGCCCGCCCACATGGAGCTGCACCCCCGCCCACATCCCGCCCGTCCCCGCCCGTCGTCATTCACTCACCTGGCTGTGTTTTATAAGTTCATTATGAGCTTCACACCCCCCACCTGCCCACACCCCCACCCACACCCCCACCCACACCCCACCCACAACCCGCCCACACCCCCACCCACACTCCGCCCACACCCCCACCCCCCACCCACACGCGTCATACTCACCCATACGCCACCCACGCCCTCAACTACACGCCTCACACCCTCACCCACCTACCACTCACCCACCCACCCACCACACGCCCTACCCACCCCGCCCACCTGCCCACGTCCTCCTCACGCCTAATACTACACGGGGAGAAATGGTGTTCTCTTAGATGTCTCTGAAAACACCCTGAGTGATTTACACCATTCATTATTTATGGAGTTTTGGTTAGGTTAGGTTGGTGAAGGAATAGGTTGGTGTTTGGTTAGGGTTAGTTAGTTTGCTAGTTAGGTTGAGCACTGGTAGAAGAATGTATAATCAGATGTCGTCATTCATCCGTGAACGAAGGGAGTTGATATACTAGTGGTCAGTGAAGGGGGAGGAGAGATGAGGGGTGTTAAGGGGGTGAAAAGGGGAAGGGGAGAAGGGAGGGGAGGTCATGAATGTATACAAGTATTGATATAGCATAGAATACCATCTGTCTGTCTGTCTGTCTGTCTGTCTATTTATCGTGGGAATGTAGGAGGAAGTGATCCAGGTAGTGTAATGTGTACTATCCGGGTTACGTTACAGAGGCGGGTGTTATGTTACCGTGTTGTGACAGCTCTACAAACCTGCTTCCCTTACCGCCTTTGTCTATCCATCCATCCGTCCAATCTATCCAATCTATCTATCCTCATATGCTTACTCGTCTCTCTCTCACGGCTCCAAGGGCAAGTATTACACCTGACCTGTAATTAATAACAACTACCTGTGTGTGTTATGCCCTTATTGCGTTATTAGTAATTACATTAAACGAGCGACGGATGTTGAGTGTTGGTTACGTTTCGTTCGGTTACGTTGGATTATGTTTGGTTAGGTTAGGTTGAATTAGACTCACATCAACCAAAATACTCGACGCACAATACAAATCGACCCCCTAATCGACCTGTTAGGACCTCTTACTCGACCTGGAGAACACAGATCGACCGCTAGATCGTCATAATTGTCCGTCCGTGTGTCAGTAAACATCAGGTAATTGTGTCGACATAATCGGAAGTCGAGTATTGTTATAGGATGTCTTCAAGGTCTTGGTGTCGCCATCTGTCGACAGGAAGGCCTCAGTGTCGACAGCATCCTCATCTCCGACGTACCGCAAGGCCTCGACCCTAATTAACCTGATGTGAAGACTACTCACCTGTGTGTGTGTGTGTGTGTGTGTGTGTGTGTGTGTGTGTGTGTGTGTGTGAACCAAAAACCAAGTATTATGGCTACTTTGAACCCCTGATTAGGTTAGGTAGGGTTAGGTTAGGTTAGGATACCTGTATAAAGGACAGGTAAGAGAGGCCCATGGGAGGGACAGGTAAGGTAGGCCGCGGTGTACCTGGGGGGTGGGCGGTAATGGGTCGGAAACGGTTGCTTTCTTAACACAGGGGCGGCGGTCAGTGTACGGGCGGAAGTTCTCTGTTCCCTTAATC